AAAAAAAACTGTTTTTATTCCACTTCAGAATATTTAGAACATGTGCGTAGACACACTTTTGACGCAAGGAAGATGCTCGCCGAACCTCCACACTAAATTTGAATATGTTATAATGTACCCTCTAAACTTGTTACAAATTTTTACTGTTTATTTTATTTTAGAGAAAACTTTGTACCTTGCACCTATTTGTTTTTCTGACTTGTCATAAATGTATTTTATACATAACATGATCAAATAAATATATCTATCTATCTATCTATCTATAAACAAATTACCGATTTCCACATCAGAAAACAGATTTGCCCCTATGCCAAAAGATGAGTTACGGATATGGAATTTGTCTTCACCATCTTTTCTTTGTGGATAAATGGCCAAAATGAAGTTTTGAACAAGAACCACAAGTCAAAATATGTACTTCTGATCTATCTGACACAAGTTTTTTTTTTATAATGAATTTGCTTGAATTATCCTTGTCCTACCTTTTAACTCTTTGAGGGGCTCTGGTTCATAAAGTGTACCCAGAAAATATTGCATTTAATGGGGCGCTGGGAACAATGGGATATTTTTGTAAATTGTTACTGATGTTTTTGATGATGTCTGTAGACTATGCTGTTCACGGAATCATTCGAGTTTACCCATTCATCGTTGAAAAATTTTGTGTAGTGTTGTGGTACCTTATTTGTACCACCGCCCCTCAACAATGATTTTCTTCTTTCCAGCGTTTCGTAATTGAATCCTTACCATTAAAACTTCAGGGTATGACTTATGAAGAATTCATGCAGGAAATTGACAATATTGATGCCGAAGATATACCTTCAGATCCTGAATCAATAGTGGAACAATCCGAAGATAAAACTACGGACAAATCAGAAATGAAAGTTTTTTTTGCCATAAACTTATTGATGGGTTTGAAAAGGCTACCCAGCTATAGAGATCATTGGAGTAGCTCCCCAGATCTGAATGACCCATATATCAGTTCACTGATGCCAGTGAAGCGATTTAGCTGGATCCTTTCAAACCTACATTTGAATGATAATATAATTATGCCCAAGAAAAGAGAGCCAGGCTATGACAAACTTTATAAATTACGGCCTGTTCTGAACAAAATATCTAAAAATTTCATGGACTACAAGAGGGGCTACAAAGTGTGGATGTTAGCAAATAGAAATGGTTATTGCCAGAAATTTGAAATTTATACCGGGAAATCCGAAGATACGGAGAAAAGCATGGGTGCTAGGGTGGTGAAAAATCTACTAAAAGGTATGAAGGAAAAGCATCACGTTCTCTATTTTGACAATTTTTTTACTAGTGTACAGCTGTAAGAAGACCTCGAGACCAAAAATATCCACGCTTGTGGCACGGTCAACCCAAGCAGAAAATTGCTTCCAAATTTCAAACCTGATACACTTTTGAAACGTGACGAATCTTAGATTTCAACATCTGATACACGCCTCGTTGCCATAAAGTGGCGAGACAATCGAAGTGTTCATGTTTTATCTAACTTCCATAATCCTACTAGTATGGCAAAATGATCGAAAAAATAAAGACGGAAGCATAGTTCAAATGTCTTGTCCAAATGCTTTGATATATTATAACAAAAATATAAATTACGTGGATAAATTCGATCAAAATCTCAATATATATAAAATTGATCGTAAATCGAAAAAATGGTGGCATCGCATCTTCTTTTAATTAGTAGACGCGGCTGTTGTCAATGCTTTCATTTTGTATAAGGAATTGGACTTAGAGAAGCTATCAATGAAAGACATCAGAAGACAAATAGTATTTTCTCTTGTGGCAAAAAATATCATCAATAGGAAAAAACCATCTTTGATTCCAGGAATTATTGTAATCAAAAAGTGGAAACCACATGTACCTTTCGAAATAAGAACAACCGAGAGCGCTCATCAACCAGAAAGGGCTACAAGACGTCGTTTTGCACATTGCAGCACATCAAGAAAACAAATTCGTACAGATTGGATATGTTCGGTATGTCAAGTACCACTTTGTTTAGGGAAGAAGAAATCATGTTTTCAAGATTTCCATAACAAACAGTGATGTCCCTTAGTGGGCAGTGGTACAAAATATATACCATCATTTTTCCATAAAACCAAGAGACCTTAATCCAAAAAAACTATTCTAACATCATTCGATTATGCTATGCTATGCATTTTTTTGTGATTTGAAAGTGAATAAAATGGTGTTGCCCCTCTAGGACCTTCTTTTTCTAAAAATTTTTGCCCCTGAAAGAGTTACAAAAAAAGAAGCGATGTCATTGGTAGATTTCCCAAAGTATGTCAATGTCCAATGAAGTTTATTATCTTTTCTAGAAGTGGGATAGACCTGATGAATGGCTTGTGTTCAAAGTTTTTTAGAAATAATGTTGACAGCAATTTCTTTGATTGAATGCAATTCTTTCTAAAATTTACTTTCTGACAGTACAATATTCAATAGTCTGTGAAGTATACTAAATGTTGAGGTACTTTACGTTGATAAGGAAGTGTCAAGGAATTATGTATAATAAAGTCAAGTTCAGAAAATTTATTTAATTACACTCCATTTCAGTTGTGAATTTAATTGACAGGTGAGTGGAATTATCCTATTCAACAAACTTGCCCAACTCCCTACCTGTACCAGTAAAACAGACCAAGATATCATATTCGTATCTGTAGCATCGATTTTTACTTTGTATGAGAAACTGTTTATCAACTGAGATGAAAATAGTAAGTAAATCTAGAATATCCTGTTTAGCGACAAGATCAACATGATTTATGTCTTAGAGATGCTCAACCAGCTCAACTGTTTCAATAGGCGGAATACTGCGGAATTTAGAGTTATCGGGAAGAGTTATGTTTTTAATGTTATTCACTAATTGATATGTACTATCTATACAATCGCTTATCGAAATTAGTGTGGATTTTATTCAATTGTATGAGAATTTCAGAAATTTTTACAAATGGAGATGTTGCAAACGATAACACAGGTCTAACTGGGAAATTGATTGATGAATAGATTTTGGGTGGTTATGGATTCATGATCACCAACCTGTATTTATCACCTCTTTCTGGTACAGAGTTGTAAGATCATCTCTCAGAATACTATAGGTTCCTTAATAACGAAAATCTGGAGTTTTAATAATATATTATTTTTTGTGAACCACAAGCCTTTGTCTGTTTTGTGTCTAGTGAAAATCTCACACTGAAGTGTTACTTGAATACTTATGTAATTGAATTACCAGATGATTTTTTTCACGCTATTTCAAGCTTCCTGGACGTTGTAGATTATAACATGGAAATATAATAATATGGGTATCGCCCTCAAGCTATATGGAGGTGCAATAGGTAATATTTTATGACTTCTGGGTTTGAACTGTGTCTCAATACATGAACTATAATATTTTCAACCTTTCCGTGTATCAGATTTTACTTCATCTAAAGTATATATCATGCTTTTAAAACAAACATACCTCTTGCGGTCTCTCATAGCACCTTCTTTGGCTTCCTTAAGTGCAGTTTCCAAAGCCTTTACTCTCTCCATCGTTGCTCTCAAACGTTTCTCTAGCTTGGGTAATTCACATCGTAAATCAGCATTATCTCTCACCAACTGTTTATGGACTTTTGTCAGCTGATCTAGGTTATTTTCTAGGAAGGATATCTTCTGTTTCTGAGCTAGTGATCCACCATCCTCTTCGTTGTCTTCTGATGACAGGTTTTTCTTCATACGAGCCTGTAAAAGTAATTGTTTAAATTTCAAGTTATTTACAGTAGAACTAGCTGAAAACTTGCAACTCTGCTTAGTTCAAACTTTAAATTGTGTGTGATTTAAATTTTAGTTGAGTGTCCACTATTATGAAATTTCATAATTTTTCCATACATCCTTGCAACACTTTGAATTCATGTATATATTTATTCATTTATTCATTTATTGATTGAACGGGATCACGTCTTTTTAAATAGGACAAGCATCAAAAATAGTAAGGCAAAAAGAAAAGGCTGAAAATGTAGAAATAAGACTCAAAGTAAACTCAAGCACGTGAAAATGAGTAAAAGCACTAAGATAAACTGAATTATGAAAGAAAATAAATATTTCAAAATAAATTTCCAAATATTAATCTCTCCCAACTACCTGCATAGTAGGCTCTGGTAAACGTCTGTCGGAAAACAACTACTTCCCCGGCTAATACCACGCTGGATATTGAATTATTTCCGAGAGACATTTATGCAAGATACCTCACAGAGGTTAGTCTCGCAGATGTTTCCCGTTCATCCAGCAGCAGAGCCATGCTGAAATTACTCAAGTAGATCACCTGCAGACGACGGTTTCAAGGTATTACTCTCGTCAGTACAGGAAATATCCTACCCAGACAGCAAAGTGCCTGGGACTTGATTAAATTCAACATGGCTCTGTTACATATATGAAACCTTCATCTGAGAGAAAGATTGTTAACTAGTAACAAGGTTATCTCATGAACAAAGCATTAAGCGGGGAAGAAACATCCCATGTACCAAAACTCTAACAGAAATCAAAAGTAAAAACTATCGAGAAGAGATACATACGTAAAAAAAATGAATATTTCAAAATAAAATTCGAAATATTAAACTCTCCCAGCTATCTACACAGTAGTCTCTAGTAAACATCTGTCGTAAAACATCTATTTCCCCGGCTAATACCACCTCTTTCAAAATACAGAGATAAATGGAGAGAATATTATAAAGGATACATATAAGTAATAAGTGAATATATTCACAATTCGACTGGCCTATACCAGTGATCTCTAGATGTAACTTTTTTCATTGAACATTTTAATAGAACACTGAACATTCTCTCGATAGGACAGTGCATTCAATAGTTTGGTATGATGGAAGGAAACGTGTAACAGATCATTGTTTCTTAGCGTTCCTTAGCGACCAAATATCCAAGTCATATTCTAAGTGGGAGATTATTAAGGCAAGATACACTGTTCTTACTGAAATGTTTGATAATAGTTTGCAGTTTCGTAATATAAAGCCCAGTAGCTTTTATGTATTGACAGCAATATGATTTATATGATCTACAAATTGCAATTGCTCGTGTAAGATAACTCCTAGATCCTTCATTGAAGTGATAGTGTTAGTGGATTACTATTAAACGAGTATAGTATACAGGGTATTTTATCATGCATTTCGATTCGTAAAAACATTCTCTAGAACAAAGCTCACATCGCCTATCTTCCTAATATTTATTTCTCTCACTAGTACAAAAAATTTCTTTGTTTTGGCAAATGAAGAGCTATAAAATATCCAGTAAATATTCAAAAACACCGTCTTCTTCTTGAACACATATTTGGGCCCTATTCTTGACACAACATGTTGCTTTCAACACAATTCGGGCATCAATTCTATTAATTACAGTTTCATTATAATTTTTCAGTTCATCTACATTATTATGTTTTATTTTGTACACCTCATTTTTCAGAATCCCCAAAAATAAAAATCCAGAGGTGTCATGTCTGGTGAACGAGAAGACCACTTAACAGGACCATTTGTAGCAATACATCTGTTTCCAAAACAGTCTCGCAACATTCTTTTTACGCCACTGAAATTATGTGCTGGTGCTCCATCCTGCTGAAGATAAGTCAGCTGACGAGCTTCCAGATCAAGATCATCGAAAAACTCTTCCAACACTCTTGTTAATAAATTAATGTAACAGGGTCCGTTCAAAGAACCATTGTAAGAAAATGGACAGATAATTCTGCCTCTAAATAGACCACACCAAACATTATTACTAAATCTTCTTTGCGTATTGTGGGGATGGACTAGAAAAGAATTATGTCTACCCCAATAATGAAAATTATTTCTATCATACACCCCACAATTTGAAAAATTAGTCTCATAGCTCCGTATATTTCTACAGAAGTTTGGATATTGTCTGCATTTATTCATAAACCACCGAAAAAAACCCAATTGTTTCTCAGGGTCACCAGGTTCTAGAGTTTGCACTGGTCTTAACTTATAAGGAGAAATCTTATGTATCGTCAGATATTACAAAACGATTTTTAATTCTCTGTCAGAAAATATCCAGTTCTATATGACCAGACTGAAGAGCTGTCTGCCTGAAGGATGCCTCTTTTCAGGGTATGCTTAGGGCCAGAGCTCCATACATGAGAACAATACTCCAAAGAAGGTCTGATCTGAGCTTTAAGGACATGAGAAGCGGGCAAATATAAAAGTGGATGTTTGTTTGTTGGTTGGTTGGTAAGTGATAAACTTCTACATTGCTCAACCGATCGTGATGAAACTTGACATGTATGAGTAATTTTTCATAGAGAAGGTTTTTAGGCTATACATTTTTCTGTAACTCGCCACTAGATGGCGCAGATGGAAATTATCGTTATGTAAATCAATACCAAATAGGTCAGTGGTGCCAAGTGAGTGGTACGACATAATGATCACGGGTTTCACGAATTCAAATCCCAGCGCAATTTTTTCTTTTTGCTGTTAGTAACAAAATATTGTCATTCGTATAAGTACCAAAATTGGGTGTTTGGACAATCATGAGGTTTTATTTGCCAAAACAAAGAAATTTTTTGTACTAGTGAAATAAATATATATTTCCACATAAGTCGCTCATTTCCAACTTTAGGAAGAAAGGTGATATAAGCTTTATTGTTGAGAATGTTTTAACGAATCGAAATGCATGATAAAATATAAAGTATTCCATTTGAAAAAATATCATTTTATGAAATATTTCGAAAACACGACTGCCAATTTTTTTTTGTTTTTGGCATAGAGAAGACCATTAAAAATGTTACTAGCATCAATAATAATGGAGTTTGCAATGGTGTCGACTTAATTTAAAACACCCTGTATATGTAAGCAAGAAGATGGCACAGATATATTAGTTATATCAGATTTGGCAACTATCTAGTACAGAAGAGAGTATAGTCGCCATTTTCATGGCAATATATACAGTAGGTTTTGGTTTTAGTTACTTGCAGAATAAAGGTTCATCTCATTTATATTTAGAGATCATAGTATGATCGTTTATGAAATTAAACTTTGACTTATTCAATCCTCTTAAACAAACTTCTACATATTTATGATTTGTCAAGGTATATGACTAATATTCTACTGACCTGCAAATCTTGTACAAACAGTTTTCTGAGGTTGTGGAGGGTTTGCAGCTCTTTAGCGACGGTGTCTTCTAGACCTTTAAGATCCTTCCTAGCCTGTTCTCGTCTCTCGTTAGTAGTGCTGTAGAATTACATCCAGTTTCAATGACTGACTGCGGCTGCTACACCACGTGCTCTCGCACACACATAAAAGTTTGGTTAGGTTTCATTTTATCAATGATGTTTATGCTCGTTAACCAAAAATATTACTGAACAACTAAAGTACTACAGAGGATTGAAGTAACACAGACAGGGTAAGCATTCCGAATTTCAATATCTTGTCATTTAACTTCAGAATTTTTCATATTATTAGGATTTTGGGTCGTAATTTCACTTAATAAACAGTTTCACTTTCTGCCGGATATGCTCAAATAGTTTAGGAAGAAAAATCAGCACATTACTTTAATGACAAGCTCTGATTAAATGCCATTTCGAAGCCAACCAAAACGTCATTTTAAAATTTATTGAAGAAAAAGTGAAACACTTTTTTATTTTTTTCAATTTTTGGACAACCCACATATAGAAAACATCTATCTAATTCACCTCAGACGCATTTCCAAAAATACTGGGTGTCCCATGACTTTCCCCTATAAGAGAAGGATCATACGAATAGAAGGAGAATGTCAGTACCTAATATTTTTCATCTTGGTGAGTTTTGTTGCTGAGTCAAAGGCCTTCGAAATTACGAACTTGAAATAGTTGCCACAGCTGATTTTCAAAGTTATTTTTATTAAATTGGTAGATTTCTCAATATGGATAAAGATAATACTTCAAATCTTCCATTGGAAAATTATGCAAAATATGCACAAAGGATATATTTGCATATTAAAATTAGATGAGTTGATCCAGTGTTCATCTTTTTATTTTGAGAGCTCAGAGTATAGTTTTCATTGCCTTACAAAGCAATGAGAATTTTATGTCCCCAACGATATTAGATTGGAGGTTTGATATTCCTCTAGTCCAGTAACGATCAAAAACGGAGTTTTTGTAATCTTTCAAAATCATTTCTTTTTCAATGTTTGAATTATAGAGCAAATTTTTTATTAAAAAGAATAAAATAGTTAGTACATCAATGAAATCAACTTTTCTTTGCAAATATTTTTTTCTTCAATATTAATTCTATACTACCATACTACTCTACTGCATATGCTAGACACACTGACAGCATTATTATTATTATTATGAAATAAAAGGCGATATAGAAAAGTGTTATGTATAGATATTTAAATTTTTGTTCAAATAGATAGAAGTTCATAGTGAAAGCTTGTGTATGTTTGATGCCAAGAACTGAATATTATGTAAATATATCATAATTAAATTAATATTCCAATTCTATCAGGCAAAAAGTACCAAGAATGTGTACTATAACTAGTTAACAATTTTCTTGAGAACATTTGTATTTCATACATATTGACCCCACGAAAAATAATTTTTCACTATATTATATTAACATCTGCTTTATATTTTCAAATAAAATCTCTTATTATTTACATTTGTACACGTTTTTGTATCCAATAGGTGCAGAGCTCCTTGAAGCAAGGCATAACATATTGTCATACTATTACTTCAGAATCTTTCTATATGTAGTGAAAAATTATACAACTTCAAAAATATCTGCCATTTTACTTCATCAATATATAATGCACGGATTATCTCCAACAGAAGATACTTTCCCCTTTCAATTTTACTTTAAGATCTCCAAGCTCAAAAAACTCTGCTTCGCAAAGTGGTCCTAATTAACAATTATGAAACATATATTGTGCTCACTATGATGCAAAAATAAATAAAAAATAAATGTTACACATATCAGATAAATCACAATTTATAGATTAATAAAATAAAACTCAACCAAACAGTAGTGTGACAATTCAAACTACTTCTAAAAATACTGACCAGAAATCACAAGGAAAGTGACTAGAAGGAATGGAGAGGCAAACATCAAAAAATATCACAGGATTTTTGAAGCAAGTAAAATGCATCCCAAACCAATATGTTTTGGAAACACATCACTATATTATTAAAACATTCACATTCATTCAATCGATAACCAACAAAATGAAATGTTAGTCAAGTCATATATCATACACATAAATAATATAAAAGTGAATGCAAGAAGAGTTTTAATTAAATAATAATATGAAGAAAATGACAAATAATTACTATTTGAAATAAGTGGCAGTGTAGAAAGCAAACCTTTTGCACAACTTTTCATCTATTTTAAGGTTTACTCAAAAATACATCCCTTTTTCTTAAAAAAACTCATCAGGACAACTTAAAAGGTGCTTATTCATTTCCATCAGGCATCAATGAAAGACAAGACTTCTTTCATTCTTTGATTGAAAATGATTGAATATTTTTGGTATTCAATTTATATTTAACAAACTCAATCAAAATTTCACCATCCATGAGGGTGTCATGTCCACAAAAAGTAGAAATGGGGGATAATGAAAATAATGATTTGATTTATCAATTTGTTAACATTATGTATACAACAAATTACTTGAAGCATCAAGTCATCTACTTCACATGTATGCCTGTAGAACATAAAAACTGGTATCCATTGTTTGTACCTAAACAACAACCAAATACTGCGGACATCGATGAGTCACCAAAAGAAGTGTTAATGATATGAACAGATGCAAATGAAAAGTATGAATGTGAAAAATCGACATAGGATACTGCCCCTGAGACAATTTGGTCAAGTTATTCATTACGTCTTTAGACAATTTTGATGTTTGCTGATGAAAATCATTCGATTTAGATTTGTTCATTTCATTCTTATAAGGAATGAATTCTTTCCAAGGAGGACTTTTCGAATGTTTTTCATATGGGATCAACTTTTTGGTTGATTTGTTATCAAAAGGATAAAAGGAATGGTTAGTATTTGAAAAATCTACTGACATGAGTTCTTGCAGTTTATGGGTCTTTTCTGTTTCATCCATTTTGATTTTCTCGTAGTCAGCCTGCAATTGCTGCTGGGCTAAAGTGAGCTTTTGGTTGGAGCTGAAAGAATAAAATGAAACGTTAACATCAACATACGCAAGGAATATAAAGGACTTACTCTTTGATATCATTGATGAGTGACTGTTTTTCGGCAATTTCATCTCGAAGAGCTGCCACTTGCTTTTGATGAACCACTCGTAATTGGTCCATTTGCTGTTCAAGTGCTAGACGAAGTTCATTAGCCTCTTTCTTTTCACTCTCACTTGCACTTTGCACCTGAAAATTACAAATTATGATAAAAAATATATTTTACTTATAGTTGATTTTTAGCTGAAAAGTGAATATCAAACGTGCACATTGAAAAAATATAAAAAAGTGAGTCAATGAATAGTATAAGTACTGGATTTTGGATAAAGGATATCACTGAAACAATACTTCATCAAAAAAATAAGAAATTTTATGGGTTCTGTGACTTGAAAATCTAACCAAGGAACAGACCTAGGAACCAATTCAGAAATATATCTTTTTGGGATGGATCACTACATCTACTGGACTTTAGTCTTTACTATTGAATAGGCAAGTAATTTCTCTTCAAGACCAGAAATCATTGTATTAAGAAATCGAACGATACAATACTTGAAAGAAAAAAATAGTAAACTTACTCAAATTAAAAGAAAACATACAATCTGAAGGGAGGAACACATTAAATGGTGAAAATATTTAATAGAATGATGCTATCCCTCAATGGCATGAATATTAAGAGAAAACTTCCTTTTATACATAAAATCCAGTGGAATGTTAGGAGTTTCACCTCAGAATGAGAGATAGTCAGCTATAAATTTGTATAAACCTTTATTTTGATACCCTACAACTTGTCTCAAAACCTGCTAGTTGTAGGGTGTCCGCGACTACAGATATTAACAGGTTTATTCAGTTTTGTTAACTTGATGAACTGTGCATAGCAAAGACGATCGATTCAGTCCTCAGATTTTGGAACATTATAGACTGCCAAAGGTTCGCACTACATTCTCAAATAATACTTGAACCGGGCAGTTTTCTTCTTCGAATGCTGCAGCAATTTGATCCAAATTCGGAAGTTTCTTGAGTGTTTTCACAAGAGATTTTTTCTGTTTCACAGCCACTTATTGCGTCAAGAAACAATATGTGTTTCTTTGAGGATATTTATCAAAGCTTTTGGAAGAGTATATTTCGGTTTTTACATTTCCTTTGCCAACTTTGTTAAAGAAAATTTCTTGGTGATGTGATAGGGTATCCCCAATTAAAATGACAAGTAAATCTATATCTTGTGCAATTATAACAGCAATTTTTTGACATTTATATTCATCAATAACTGTTTTGTTGTGATATTAACAGCTTGTAATTTTTCAATAAGCATTTTATCATTTCGATTTGATAGACATTTTTTTTGTGTTATAGGTACAACCATGGTTTCACCGAAACAAGCTTCATTTGATTTTGAAGGGGTAGCAGTTTTTCTCCGCTGCTCCATTGCTTTTATGTTTTTATTATAGTCTAAAAAACCATTAAATAAAACAACAATTTCTGAACCATATTGCTATTGTAAATAATTCATATATTCATCTAAAATAATAGAAAAAATGTCTTGTGTCGTTGGATACGGGCTAAATTCTCATTCAAGATACTCTTCAAGATTACTTTCAAATTGCTTGCTGACTTTAAAAGACTAATAATGGATCAGCTGAAACTTTATAATCATCATTTTTGTCAGATTTGTTACTAACTGGAAGCGGTAATACCTTTTAATTCCATTTCATGAAATTGTAAACCAGTGATCTTGCTCATTGATTTAATTCAATTTCATAAGCTCTGCGACAGTTAATTTGCTCATTTCCAACCATTCCAGAAGCTAATGATATTACCTGTGTCTTATTTGGAAAAGGATCATGGAGTTTAAACTATTCAACTAGTTTATATACGTCAATATTATCTCTTTTTATTCTTGAATCCCTAGAGTCTAAGTTTTGTTCTGTGGAGTCCAAAGAAATGTTACAAAATGTTTCCATTTCCTCGCAAATAATATTTGTAGAGTACATAGCATATATCCATTTACATTGGTAACTTTATAATCACACGAGTAGGTAAGAAGGTAAATTATTATATCCTGAATTATTGAAAAAACATTATCCATTATAACATAATAGTTGATAAAAATGCAAATCATTTAGAATTATATATTTATCAATGAATTATCAACTTTATAGGGCGTGTTTTTAATTGAGACTACAGGTTGATCTCAAATTATACTCTTAATAAATAGTTAAACACTGTGCGCTCTGCCCTATATCTTGAAAATGGTTCAATAATATGAAAAAATGTTTAAATAAAAGTTGCAGAGAATTTAATCCTCTACAATATTCATAATTGATACAAATAGCATAAAATCCATAGGAAACGAGATGTTTGCAATAAATGTGTAAGAAATCGATTTGTTGACCTTCAATCTTGGAATATCTGTAGTCGCAGACACCCTAAGATATGTAGGTTTTGAAATAAAGGCAATGAAATCTCCATTTACAAAGATGCCATTTATAGTATGGACAGACGACTATCATTGTACTCAAATATATTTTTCAACTACCCACAAAAAAAAATTCCTACACAGTTGTGAATAAATATAAAAAAACATTACATTATTTAGTTTACTCCTACATTTCAACATTTATCACATTTTAAATTTACACTATTATTAGAGGTTGTACCACATACTTAGCTTTTTATTACTTATTATCATAATATTACATTTCTCCCTACTTTTAATATATCAAAAATATATTCAATGAAGTGGTAGGATCAGACTATTGAAGCACAATATGGAACTGGTATGTCGGGAATATATAAAATAGATAATCAAAATATTTCCATCGATGCCAAAGGTTACTGAAGTAGCCACATAACAAATAATATAGATCTTACAAAATTCTGAAAAATTCCACAAATTGTAATTTACCAATGTCATTAGCAATTGAAGAATTATACCCAAAAATAAAAACAATGTCACAGCCCCCCATTCACATTTTCATATTTGTTTGTAAAATTTTGAATCATTCCCATATGATAAATTTTTCCAGCATTCTGATTCGATTATATTCAAAGTAATCACAATCAAATCACATGTGTTGTATAGTAAATCTTTATCATTTTACTCAAATATATTTTTCAACTATCCAGAAAAAAAATCCAACACAATTGTGAATAATTAATAAAAAATACATTACTTGGTTTTCTCCTACATTGCAATATTTATCACATTCTTTTGCACTATTATTGGAGATTGTATCACATATTTATCTCTTTAATACTTTTTTTCATAATTCTACTTCCTTGGATTTTTTAATTATAGAAACATATTATCACTTATAATATCATAATATTACATTTCTTCTCAATTTAAGATATCAAAAATATATTCAGGTCCCCTCCTGGTCCTTTTCAAGTGCAATATAAAATTGTGATGTCAGGAACAGTCTAGTCGAAAAACTCCAGACATCACCAGAAGATGGCAAATGAGACTTTGCCGAAACGTTGTAAGAATAATCCTTATAAGAATAAAATACACAGAACAGAGAAAGAGAGAGAGAATAGAGAATCAAAATATTTCTATTGGTGCCCAAAGGGTACAGAATTAGCCACAGAACAAATAATATAGGTCTTGAAAGTTCAGTCTAGAGAAGGTGTAATATAGAGATAATACAAAGAATTTATAATCTGTGGTATTTTATCGTTGGTTGAAATAGATGAGAATGGTTGAGAGACTGATGAAATTACTAACTATAAAGATTAATATTACGTTTGTAACATCAGAGACAATATCAATAATACATTACTGTTCAGTTCAAAGAAAAATAAAAAAGTTGTTGGTCCTATTTTCTGAAATATATGGAAGAGAGATTTCTGAATCTGCTTTCGGAGAACACTCGAACCTATCAACTCTTCTCAAAATCCAGAAAATATCAGATAAAACACAACAAGGTGTATTATTGACAAAACATCGAACAACTTGGCAAAGTGGCGTGGACTCTCCAGAATGTTCTCCAAAGTATTCTGAAATGAGCAAACAAGTTGACCTTGATCAATATGAAGCTTTAAAATAAAAATACAAACCAAGATTTTGAACATATAAAAACTTCAGGAAGAAATCCTGTTTTCCATTTATTTTTCTGATATATAATGTTTTACTTTTATCAGCTTGATTATTTTTATCCTATTCATTTTGATTTTTAGTTTTTAAAATTTATTTTGATTTTTACTATTTCAGCTTCAGTTTTAAAAGTTCATGAATTAGTTTTGCAATTGAATACTTTTATATTTTCAAGGGAAAAACACATATAATACTGTAGTAATCAATTTTATGAAGGTAATTATTTTTATTATATTCCGGCATATCATACATACTTCAGAAGCAAATATAAAGATATTGTAAAACTTATTATTTTTCACCTGTTCAGCTGCCCGTAACTTTGCACACTCTTCTCTAAGAGCATCACTACTCTCCTCCAATATTCTCTTCTTGTTCTCCAATTCCCTCATCGATTCTTGTAAACTTTTCATTCTAGCTTCATGTTGAGATATTAGCAACCTACTTTCGGCCAACTCTTTCTCATATTCTGTTACTTTCTTGTTGCTGTCCTGTTCCTTATTTTCAATTTCCTGGATCCTTTGTGTGAGGCTGGTGACTTCACTTTTCATCCTAGAGATGTACAGACGAGCAACCTAAAGAAAATAAGTGAAATGAATTAGTGTTCCAATACATTTTTGATTAAGCTTACTGTAAACTCTTCCTCTAATTTTGCAGCATCATTGGAGATTTTAACATCTTGACCTTCTCCAACCAAGGTTGATCCAATTTCACCAAGTTCCTTGAGCAAACTACTCAACATCTCTGCGATTCTCTTCTTCTGGTGGTTGTTCATGTCACGTGATTGTTGGAGTTCGGTTGTGGTTGTGTTGAGACTCGCTTGTTTCTGCATAAGTTCTTCCGAAAGAGATTCCACTTCTTTGTTTTTCGAATCTACTTCCTGACTCTTCTGATCATAATTAACAGCCAATTCTTCAAGAGCCTGTAATACGTCTTTAACTTCTTCCTTGGCGCTCTCATTTTCTTGCTGTAGTCTATTCATTTCAGCTTGTAGAGCTTCAAAATCTCTGCGAGTGCTAGCGATGAGTTCGTCTTGCTCTAACATTTGTTCTTTGAGTTTTTCAACATGTTGACTCTGTTGATTGATTTCCTCATCTTTCTCATCTAGAAGCTGATAGAGCCTCTCTCTTTCCGATTCTAATCTAGTTCTCTCTTCAATGCCCAAAGTAGAACCAATCATCAGAGCTGGAGTTGCAGGTAATGGACCAGCCGGTTGTTCTGCAATAATACTCTCCTCCATACCGGAAACAGGGGTGGCTGCATCCGATAATTCGTTAAGGTTGATCTGTTCATCAGCCGAAACAGTCTCGCCACTTCGCCACCTGCTAAGCTCTTCCTCCAATTTTTCCACTTTGCCTTTAAGTCTAGCCACTTTCTCCTTTTCTTTTTCATACCTGCGTTTCCATTCTTCTGCGGTGAGTTCCTCATTGACACAGACCACATTTTTAACAGTCTTAGCCCTAAAAAACAGTGATTGAAAATATAATCACAAGATTGATAAACGGGATGGAAAACAAAAAAAAACAAATGGGGTGGTATTCAGATAGTTCTTATATTAAGTGTTGTAGCGACAAGTTTCCAGATGGATGATTCTTGGGTGAATAGTCAGATTAATGAATGTCTTTCGCTTTCTCGTCGACTTCTTGTTTCTTAAGTGACAGTCATTATTCTTCCCGATTAATATTTTGAAATTTTGATTAAATAATATGTTGGTTCATTACCAAACATTAAATTTTTATTTCTTTTTTTTTTCTTTCATTATTTTTGTTTCACACTTGTAAATATGGTTTAGGGTGCATTTACAATTTATGCGGGCAAATAATTTAAATTGTTGTTTTTCAAGAACCTTACTTTGATGAAATCCTACTACTTATTCCTACTATTCAAATCTACTCATGCCGATCCTGTCCTCTTTTTTTGTTTTCCTACTTGCAATTGATTTTTTTATTCGTACTTTTACGCAAAGTTTGAGATCAAAACAAATCTCAGTGGTGAATCTGCGTCCCTATTTCATACACCGCTTAAAAAACGTTCATATGTCATCTCGTCAAATCATCATTTTTAATTTTAAATAGAAACTGAAAAAGGGAATCAATTGATAAACGAAATTATTCATACAGTTTTGTGCATTTATAATAACGATAAATCTTCTTTATTCTTTGCGCTATTGAAATTTTAACATAGCCAAAAGTTAGTGCATATTTGATAACCATTAGATGCACTAGATCACAACTCTTTGGCAGAAATATTCTGCAATAACATTTTATTAGAGCTCTTCAATAGTACTTTGTACACATTTTATGTCTCTATAAGAAAGAATCTAACGTGTGAGTTGGGAAACAAGGAAACCATGGAAGGTGGCCAATTAGGATGCATAGATTTTGTTTTTCTTTTAATGTCATGCACCAACTTTTGGCAGTATTTTGAAGAAATACCCATTTGTTGCACACCTAATGTACAATTAACATGAAATGAGAATACATTTTTTTGCAGTATCAAAAAATACATATAATGAAAAAGAATATTTTTTCTAGAGATGACGTACTACGTACAGCTTTTCTCTGTATTGATGGTTAAAATTCAAACTAACTTCATATCCCTGAATTGAAATTAATAACTCCTTACGCAGATGAGAAATTGTTTCAACACCATTCATATCATGAAAATCAATACCGAATATGAAATTCCGGAGACTGAATATCTAAAAAATAGATAACATACACTTATAAATAGATCTTGTTTCCGAATATGATTTGCATTATCAGTGCAATTTGAATTCAATTTTGAAACTCTTTTCTTCCAATTTGTTAAAAATTCAAAATATGAAATGGTGAGCTCTTGAAATTATTTTCAGAATGCTCTGAACCATTTCAGCAATGAATCACTTTAGAGCCAACTATCCTATAAAATAATTATTATGAAATATTGAATATTACTGGAGTTTTTTATACTAAAACCTGGTTCTGCAATAGACAAGGCTTCAAATTCCTTAGTGAGCCACTTTGCTATTTGGTAGGTTAGGTTAGCAAATAGCAAACTCTTTAGAGTTCATACAACTTACAAAAAATATGGTTCTACAAGAAGGTGGGATTTTGGTTTCTTTTGATGTTAGTTCCTTATTTCCTAGCGTCCCAATTCCACAGACCTTGCAATACCTCAGGGAACTACTAGAGAAAAATAATTTCAATAATAACGAAATCAATGAATTCGTTTCTCTTACTAATTTGTGTATGAAACAAAATCTGTTCCAGATAGAAGGTTGCTTTTATGAACAACAGGAAAGAACGACCATGGGAAACCCCATGGTCGTTCCCCTACCTGGCAGACCTGTTCATGAGCAGATTTGAAATGGAAACCAAAGAAAAGTCAAAGTATTTTCCTAACATTTGGCTAAGGTATGTGGATGATATTTTCGCGATATTCGATACCAAAAAATCGAATATTGAGGACTTTTGTTTCCTTTTCAAATAATAGATGTCCATCAATAAAATTCACGAATGAGTTAGAAAATAAAGAACAACTACCATTTCTTGAAATGAGGAGCCAATATGGAGGGTTAGAATACAATGTATTTAGAAAAGAAACAAGCACGTACAGGTATATTCCTGATAGTTCACATCACTGTGGACAGCACAAACCTGCTGGGTTGAATTTTTTGGTGCATCATATTTTGACTTTCCCTCTTAACACATGATAGGTTCACAAAAGAAAAACGTACAATACAGGAAATAGCAGCCACTTACGGTTTCTCGAGGGGTAGTATTGTAGATGACATAATAAGGAAGAAGAAGTTAGGTTAAGAACGAACAAAATCTCGACTTTCAGAAAGGACAAAAACCAAGATAAATACATCTCAGTTCCATACCACCAATATACGAAGAACTTTGGAAAGATTTTCAAGGAACTAGGTAAGAAGGTGGTTTTTAAAACAAATCATACACTACAGAGCCTTTTGGGAAGTCCAAAAGACAGTCGAGAGTTTGGAAAAGTCTGGAATTTATGAAATTGAATGTGAGGACTGCAATGCAAAATATTATGGACAGATAAAAAGATCTATTAGAGTAAGATATAAGGAACGCATATCTGTATAACATAAATAGCGTTAGCTTCGCGAAGTTTCCAGTTTAATCTACCTCTTGAAGACGATCACTTGGTGATCGAAACACGTGTCGAGGTGTTAAAAATAAAGATTTGATGTTGGGAAAAAATCCAGTAATATTCATTACTACACCAAAGGTTCCAAACAGTACATCATAAATTATGAAATATTGTTTATAAATCTTCGCTGATATGTAATAAACTTTCAACTACTCAGTGAAAAATAATCAAGTTGAAATGAAAGTTCAAAACTTTCAACTCACCAAAAAATGGAGGCATGTTCAATCCTACTACATTGTGGCCTTGAAATTATAGTGTTTAAAGAAGCTATTCAAGAAAAAATCACAATTTTTTCGAATAGTGAAACCTAGGAGAGTGCTTAGTTTTCTTGTAAAGACAGTGGTGAAACAATTTTTCATCTTCCTTCCAAACCCATTAAAAATCAGTGCTCTACTAGGGAATGCATTCTCACGAGAACCGGACTCATACGAGATCTAGCGAATTTATGAATAACAATACCGCGAGATCTCACCAATGTCGAGATCTCGCGAGATTGGCAGGTGTGTGTGTTTACCCTTAACATTGTCTGACATATCTAGGTATCTATCATTTTTTTCAATAAACTTCTAAGTAGCAAATGTTGACATATCTAATAAAATAATAAATGAAGTAAACAATCAGTTTTCTCTTCTAATATCAAACGACATATGTTATTTCATGATAATACAGTTCTTTTATAATAAAACAAAAAGAAGTCAAAAACTAAAATGAAACTCATTAACTAAGCTGAATTGATTATTGAACTGCTAAGAAGGCTCTTTCGGATTCAACGCTAGTTGGATCCACAGATCTCAGGCAGTCATCCGCAAACTGTGAAAGTTCACCTTCTAACTTGCATAATTTCATTTCCTTTTCGATTAATGACTCCAGCGAATTCGTAGTTAGTTTTCTGTCTCTAGTTTCTTTGAACCTTTTAGAAGTTGGGATGCCTTGTCTAACTGAGTTAACTGAAACTGCATGTTCCCCCGCAGAGTAGTTTGGATCAGCTTCCAGGCACAGGGGTCGATCAAAATTTTGCTGACACACAGCTTGATTCTATCAAATGTAGAAATCATGTCTGCTAGGCTCGACCATTGAGTATTACAATCAAATTGTAACATGAAAATCATTCTCAATTAATTATTCTCGTTAAACTCGCGATATCTCACCCATTTTTCGGGCAAGATCAATCTCTCTCTTAAAAAAGCAAAGATCTCGCGAAATTGAAGTGAAGGTTTCTTTTGAAAAATTTTGTCATGGTCTAAACATTTATAAAAATTTTGACTTCATTTGAAACAGATTGTGATTTTTTTTATAATCTGAAAGACTATTTCTGAGTCTTATGTGAATATGAAGCTTGAATCTTAATTTCAGATTTTTTTCATGCGTTTTATTAATTTTGGTCTATGATTTTTTTTCTTCTGAAATAACAAACTTTATAAATGATTTTTACAGACACTCCAATTCCATGTCTTTGCATTTTTTCAAATATTATAGTGTTAATTATACCTTTTACCAAAGTCCAGGGTAGATTTAGTTTCAGATTCGTTGAAACTAGCTGGTGAACAGCAGATAACGATAGTCGTTCTTGCATTACCTCCCAATGATTCTTGAAGGATACGTGTCAGTTTAGAATCTCTGTAGGGAATATGTGATTTGTTGCCATCTGCCAAAGCACTAATGACATTACCTAACGCTGATAAAGATTTGTTGATGTTTTTAGCTTCATCTAACACGGTACCTAAAAATATTGGTTGAGTATTTCAGTGTATTAAAATGACTTGTTAACCTTCTGCTCCAGTTTTCGAGACTTTTTCAGATCCTGCCAAGTCCACTAGATATAACTTTCCAGACATTTTCTTCTGATTTTCTAAGTTTTCTTGCTTAACGTTGATTAAAAATACAGAATGTGACCTAGACGAATGTTCATTCATATCTGAAAATGAAAACAGTCAAATGGAATTCGTTAAATTAGTTCAACATGATTGGGTACTTGTTACTGCTATATGCCTATTGGATTTCCCTTCTTCTATAGCCTCAAATACTTCCTCAGGACTCGAAACAAATCTTTCCGTAGCACCTTTCACATACGGGATCCTATTTTTGTCTTCATGGACGCTCAAATTCACCTTTGAAACTGAAATAACACAAGTTGTAAAAGGGTTCGATTTTTTTTTTGTATTACTCACCATCCAGCAAATCTCTAATTTTGTCCATGTAAATTTCATAATATGACAGTTTGATATGGAATTCAAGGTTTTCTTCCATACCATAAATATGGCCGAATATATCATTAACTATTCTTGGGATAATACCTTGTTTTAGTGGATCACCTAAAAATGTCAATTTTCAAGTATTCGTCCAAAAAATGAATTTAAACAATGGCTATGTTTACCTAAAACACCTTCCATGGTATGTGTTTTACCCGAAGAGGTTTGTCCATATGCAAATATTGTTCCGTTAAACCCGGAGAGGACATCTCCGACAATACTTTTTGCAGTTTCATTATAAACTTTTTCTTGAGAGGCGTTTGGTTTAAATACTTTATCAAATAAATAAACTTTTCCCTAGAAAACACATAATGATTTAGTATATTTAAATGAAGGATATGCAAAATCATCAAGACAGTTTTTCTGATCGGATAGAACACTGAACAAATTTAATCTTATATGGTAGATGCGCCAGTAAACGAACAGTTCCAGTAAATGATGGATGAACTCATAAGATCCCATTTGCTTTAAAACCATCCCAAATTCAATTGTCAACACTGCAACGTAGTTCTATTCATTGCAAATGATATCAAATGTCAGTACGACAATGAACATCATTGTTCAGTTAGAATATTCTCATTTAGTTTTCGGTTTTACTAGTAGAAAGGTAACACGTCAACAATCTCTAAAATGATCCATTCTCGTCCATTGAAAGAAAAAATTGAAGTGAATTTTATTTACGGTGTGTCGCGTAACTTTCTCGAGACCGAAAGGATTTTCAATGAACGTTTTCCGAGTCGTCCTATCTATAGAAAATATTTGAGGAATTTGTATCCAAATTCACAACTACTGGTAGCGTACATAACAAAAAGCCACCAGGTCATCCGTCCATTCCGGAAGAACAGCATCAAGGGCAAATAATTGGTGAGATGGTAGGAAATCCTGAACAGTCTACTTATTCCGTCGTGAATGTTTGTGAGGTGTCTCCTTCTACTGTGTGGAGACTTTTGAAGAGGAATAGGTATCATCCATACAAAATTGAAATGGTACACCAATTAACTAAAGATGACCCTGATCGAAGAACAGAATTCTGCGAAATCATGACGGAAACCATTGCATGGCATCCTACCTATCTCCACTATATTTGTTTTAGTGACGAATGTACATTTTTTTAAACGGCAATGTTCACAGACAAAATTGCCGTTATTGGAGTGACACCAACCCTCACCTTTTCCGGGAAACACATACCCAATATCCAGAAAAAATCAATCAACGTTTGGGCAGGAATATTGGGAAACCATATTGTAGGACCTCTATTTATTGATCAAAATTCAACAGGAGAACTGTATTTGAATATGCTGGAAACTACTGTTGACCCTCTCATCACTGAAATCGTCGAAGCGAATCCTAATGAATTCGATATGGATATTGTATTCCAACAAGATGGAGCACCACCACATTACTCCAGACAAGTAAGAAACTATTTGGATACTACTTTTCCCGGTCGTTGGATTGGCCGTCGAGGTCCTACAGAATGGCCAGCCCGCTCGCCAGATTTGACACCTTTGGATTTTTTTATGGGGCTATTTGAAGCAAAAGGTGTACGAAACTGAACCTGCTTCAATATTGGATATACGGCAGAGAATAATAAATATTTGTAGAGATATTGACGTTACTGTGTTGGAAAATGTTCGGCGTGAAATATCGGATAGGCTGTTCGTATGTCTAGAAGTTCAAGGCAACTATTTCGAGCATCTTCTGAACTGACCTCAAGCTTATTACCTTATATTATGTAGTTAAATGCCAATGTATTCAGACAATTATTGAAAGTTTCGGCGTTTTGTAGTAGTTGAAGATATTGACATTAATATTGTATGGTTGTGAAGCATTTGCCAGGAGCTTCAAAATGATGTGTCACAAGACCATGCATAATTTTGCAGCTCGTAGATAGAAGCATCCTAACGAGGGTTGCCTTTTATATTTCGGGATTAGAGAACAAAAACAAATATTAATAATCGAAAATCACTTTATTATTTTTCAAAGTACTCCTCATGACAATCTATACACTTTTGCATGCGTTTGAACCAATCGTCGAAGCACTTTTGCCACTCTGATTGAGGTATCTCCAAAACATGCATTCTGAATGCAGCAACCGCTTCTTCAGATGTCGAAAAACGTTGACCTCTCAGTTTGTTTTTTACGTGCGGGAATAAAAAAAAGTCATTCGGTGCCAAGTCAGTACTATACAGCGGATGACTCATCAAATCGATGTTTTGGGTGCTCAAAAATGCAGGTGTTTAAGCCGATGTGTGAGAGCTCGCATTGTCGTGGTGAAGAGTGACCCGTCTTCGGCGGTTGGTTTTCCTAATTTCTTATTGCAACACTAGGGTTACCAAATCCCGAAACATAAAAGATTTCTCAAGAGATAGATCAGTACCTTGACCTCATCGATTACCACGTTTATTTCTATTAGATTACTTTTCATAAGTAAAACATATTGTTTATTACATACCAACCCATATATTTTAAAAGTTAAGAGTCAGCTGGAAAGGCAGTCGTGGACAATTTGTATCAAAACATTTCTGGAAGTTAATACCAATCTAATTTTTTCTACTATACTCTCCAGTTCAAAGTTTTTTTCGGCTGACAAATATCAAGTACTTACATTATATATGTGAAATATATTTATTTTGCAAACAGATACAATTATAACAAGATCATTAATGTGTACAAAGTGCGGTCAATTATTTAATTGAACACAAAAACTGGTAAATTATGGTTATAATAATTCTGACACGTTTCAGAATATGTTTAAGCAAACGGAATATATATACAGGCTGATTCACGGTGGATGGCACATTAGACGTTTCTGGTGAACCAGACAACGGATCACTTTGAAAATTTAATGGAGGGCATATTCGGACATTCTCTAGCCAACTAAAATATTTTCGACAATGCGGTGTTG